GAAGACTAAATTCTCAATGCCAGTCACCGCCTTATCTATGGAACTTAGCTTGATTGCCTTGAAGCTGCTTTGCCAGCAGGAATCTGCTACAGTCTCCTCGCCATAAAACGCAGAGACATGCTTTGCTCACTTTGCTTAGTTCAAGGTCATAGATCCAGGGCTGCTTGTGCTTATGGAAAGCCATAGCTCGTCCCGTGTCCTGACCGGCAGGACATGCTTCGCTTCGCTTACCAGGCGCAGGTGGACACCGTGCGCCGCTCCTGCTCACGGAAGACTGTGACTCAGCCCTTAGCTGTGGACAGCTGCGTGGCTTTGCGTGCTTAGACGATTTCTGATCCTTCTATGGAGGCTCTGTGCTGGCCTGGGCTTTCTCTATCAATTGTTCAGAACACTGGAAACTTGTTCATGATTATCTGAAGCTGAAAATAATCGTTTGTACTATCAATATTGTAACCTTCTGTCTAAATTCAAATTAAGATTATAATGTTTCTGTTTTTGACAAACTGAAACTGCTGACCTGCACCCCCGCATGTACACCATGCCCCTTACTCATTCCTAGGACGTATTTCACTTTGACTCTGTTTGACTATTCTCAATAAATACAAGCGCTTTGGAGGAGCTCGGGAGTCAGTCTCCCGCTCCCTCTCACTCGCTTGACCTGATAAAGTCTTGAGTAATTTCATTCTTCCACGGTGGGACTTCTGCTGGACAAAACCCATGATAAACAGAACCCACAGGGGAGAACAGATGCCTCTGAGCATAGACACAGAGGAGCTCAGGGGTCCAATATGCTGTGGCCACGCCGGCTGTCCTGCAGCAGGTCAGCCCCTGTGTCCCTCAGAGCTGCATGCAGTGTCCCACCAGCTCACTTTAAACTTCAGGCAGAAATCAGGGAAGCAGGGGGAGCAGGAAAGCCTAGTTGGCCTCCCGGGCTGGTATATGACCTGCATTTGGGTACCCAGGACACAGCTTCCTAAATGCCCTCAGCACAGAAGAGCTGCGAGGGGCCCGAGTCGGGGGGCAGTCTGGGCCAGGTGGGCTTCCAGGTTGCTGTCAAGTTCCAGGGCTTGGATTTAGACCAGTGGAGAGCCAGCTGCTTAACCCGTGCCACCTCCGACACCCGCAACACCCCCACCAACCCCCACCACCACGGAGGCCTGGAGCAAGGCCTCAGTCGGGGTGCGGCCAGAAGCCGGGGCGTAATTATGACCACCTGTTCACTTCCTTGATGATCAAGGGCCTGCCTGTCT